ATTGATTTTCCTTTCAACATTCAGCTGAGGCAGGAAAAATTAAGAAAAGTAAAGCAAAACCATTATTGAAAGCAAAACATTTTTATTGAGAGCCCTATGTAACTGGTCCCTTAATCACTGATCTTGACAACACTGATGAAGATTTAGTGATGCACTGTAGAACTGAAATCGGGGTTTGCTTGTCTCAGCAAGATAAAATTACTGAATCCTAAGGAGGGTAAAGAAGGATACAGCACTGACCCTCCCATTTTCCCAGGAACACTTCTTTCCACCCCCAGCCAGAAGTGGAAAAAGGCACTTGGAGTGATACAGAAGTTTGACCTAACTCTCTGCTATCAAGGAGGGAGCTGAGATACAAGAAGTACGAGGGAGTCTTACACCAAGCAGAGGAAATGATGTGTTGACTCAGTTGGTGCCTTTCTTGATTAAAGTGCCTCTGGATCCAGCAAGTCATTACTTCTCTCTTCACTTTGACACTGGAGTAGTATTAGATAGAAATTCAGCATTTTCTCCAATTTCAAGAGCATTACTACATATTTACATAGCAGTTACTATGTAACCTACTATCATAGGTATCTTGATAAAATTAGAAAAAGTATTACTCTCTGCTGCTGGTGACTCAAAGGCTTCTGCAGAGTAGTCTGAATTGCAGAACACATGGTAAAAATTGGGTATCTATTGCATTTCTAAAATAAATCCAAGTTATGGTTTTGTTACATTCAAAATCTGAATACACAGGGTTAATTGTCATTCACACAGATAAACTAACATCTACATCTTTGTAGGTGAGAAGACAGAAGAGTTCAGACCTGTGGTCCTCAGGAACTTTGCTGTGTGACATAAGACAGCTTAGAAAAAGCCCAAAATACTTTTAGGTTTTAAAATATTCAGATTATGCTAAACCTAATCTATGACTAAAGTATTTTTCTAGGAAGCTTGAGAGATATTTTGAAAAAGTGGAAGAAAACCAGGCTACCTTGGCTGTTCTAATATTTGAGTTAAAATACAGCTGTTTGTTCCCTTGCCAGAAATGTATGTGCAGCTCCATAAAGAGCAATTCTCAGACTTGTGTTTGAAAACTGTTCAGTAATTCCAATGTGTCAGTGCAGTTGTAGAAGTTACATTTCATAGTCGAAGATGGTATAATCAGTGCACATTCAGTCTGCAATTCATGGGCTGAAAATAACAAATGCTGCCTTTTTATTTCAGTACTTTGTTCCCTAAAAAGTAGTGCCTGACTGAGAAGATTGCAGAGGAGGCCAGCAAGCATTGTAATTGTTGTGCAGAGATTGCTTTGCAGCTTCAGTTTCCATAGCATTAAGACCAGCTTTGCCTCTCACCAAAAAATCAGGCTTATTTTGCCTCAATTTCAGCATATAGGGGTAAAGCACTGTTTTCAATCATTGCCTCAGACTGAACAAACTGAAAACCCATTTCCCATGTCCTAGGATGTCAGTGCTAGGCATGCTTGAGAGGAATTATTTGCTCCATTTCTTACCACCTATGCTCTAAAAAAGGTTTCAAGTCTGCCACTGTTTTTTTTGAAGTTCTTCCTTTACACTCCCTCCCATAGTGCATATGCTGCATTTTAAGGGGGCACTGCAGGGGGAGGACTGCAGCTGCTGCCATTAATGCTGCCCAGCTGATCCCCATCTTCTTAGAGCCCTCAGAGCCCCTAACCTGGCAATTTCCCCACAGGTGTAACTACCATCCATCAGCCATTCCTCCCCTCCTGCCTAGGCTTGTGCACTGTCCTGACTTTTGTTCTCAGAGTGCATTCAAATGGCTCCCTGTGACCTGCACTGTTCCACACTATCTAACATGCAGTGGATTTTCCTGCAGGTAAGTAACACCTATGAGCATTCACCACTGGAATTTATAAAAGGCTATTACTGTAGTGATACCTCTTAAGGCAGTTTCAGGGGGCCTGGATACTAAATGAAGATTCTTAGATGTGGGTGGAAAAACTCCATTACACTGGCTAAAAAAAGGGTTCTTATCTCCATATGCTTTAGGAAAATCTGAGTCATGAGTTTCAAACTGTGCTTGTTACATGCTCTGTGCTTCTGTATCTTCAGCTACACTGTAGTGACTTGTGTGCAGGGTCTACTGCACTGCAAATATCTAAATGTTACTTGACGTGGAGAATATTTCCAATTGCTGGAAGACTGAGGGCATTGCAGATGAGAACTGTTACACTGAATTTGTTCTTGACAAGAAATAATTTTCAGTTAAGACAGATGAGATCTCTGTAGTTTTCTTGCATTGCCATTCAGAAATATTATTTGTAGCACTCTTAATTTGTTTCAGACGTGCTTGTGGATTGTGCTTACTTGTGCCTCATCTGGTCATACAAACAATTTGTCTTGCTTGTGGGCAGTTTTTTGCAGCCTGTGCAGAGCATTGCAGTGTTACAAGAAATAATTTTCAGTTAAGACAGATGAGATCTCTGTAGTTTTCTTGCATTGCCATTCAGAAATATTATTTGTAGCACTCTTAATTTGTTTCAGACGTGCTTGTGGATTGTGCTTACTTGTGCCTCATCTGGTCATACAAACAATTTGTCTTGCTTGTGGGCAGTTTTTTGCAGCCTGTGCAGAGCATTGCAGTGTTGTGACTAGATTGCTATTTCAATCCAATGTAAAGTAAGTTTTGTTTTACTGCAGTCACAGCATACAAACATCCTTAGTCTGCAGTAAGTAGAGCTGACTAAGTCAGAGGCAACCCTAGTGGATGGATAGCTTGATGTTCTGAGTTTCTTGTAGCTGACTCCAAAGTAAAAATGGATCATTAGTTTATTAAAAGGGTCATGCTAGGTAAACAGGTTGTATTGAGAAAATCTTGTAAGTCTGCTAGTTCTTACAGTAGTGAGGAGGGGCAGGTAATCACTGAGAAGGTTTTGCCTTCTGCTCTCATTTTCTCATTTAAATCTTCTCTTCAGATACAGTATTTACTTTAAAGCTTTCTGTCAAGACTTATTCTGCAAGGTATCAGTAACTGAAAAGAGCTTCACATACTGTTCCTTTCATGTCTCCTCCTGTGACTAACATGCATCTTTGCTTTGCATCTCAGAATCTAGAATCCATGTTTCAGGGATAGATGTGCCACAAGATGTCTTTACAATAATCCATAGGTACACCCCTGGATTTGTCACCAGCTAAGGTTTGGGGTTTTTCACGTGCTATCAGAAAATCTGCAGGGGTATCTAGGAGGTTTTAGGTTATAGTGACAGGTTATTTTTTTTTTTTACAAATTCATAATGCCTAAGAAATTAATCTCTATAGAGCTCTTCTAATCCTCTTGCTCCATGCTAGTTTTATTGCTCTGTGTGTGCACACAAGCCTTAGTTATGTCAAAATGTTCATGTGGGTGGCTGACATGTCTTGGTCAGGTGCACAAAGTAAAGCATGAGCTGTGTGGTGCATGTCAGACACCTCTGAACTCTGGTCACCCCAGTGAAGGAACTGCACAGGTCAAGCTTATCAGAAGGATACAACAATGAAATACAGACAACATATATACTAAAAGTAAAGTATTTCTCCATCCAAACCACACACAGCAAATCACACTTGTCAAGCCTATCTAGAATTAGCTCTATTTTCTTTATTTTTACTATTTTTGATACAGTTCCTATAATCTCTGCTTAGAATCCATTATTTAGACAAAATACATAATTTAAAGTAGCACAAGTATTTAGCAGGAAGAATTAGGAAGCTTTTTTTGGTAAATGAGTCTCTCTTTTTATCTGAAATATAGATGAGACTGTTTGAAAAACAGTCTTGCAGAGGGCTCTAGATAGACTGGAGCATTGAGCCATGATTAATGGGATGAAATTTAACAAGTCTAAATGCCAAATTCTGCACCTGAGATGGAGTGATGCTGAGCACTTAGGAAGGTTGTGAAGGCCCTTGAATGTGTCCAGAGGAGGGCAAAGCTGGTGAAATGGCTGGAAGGAGTGTCCTGTGAGGGGTGGCTAAGGGCTTTGGGCTTGTGTGGTTTGTAGAAAAGGAGGCTGGGGAGTGACCTCATTGCTCTCTGCAGCATCCTCCAGAGGAAAAGTGGAGAGGGAGGTGCTGAACTCTTCTCCCAGAGAGAAGGTATTCAGTGACAGGATGTATGGGAATGGTTCAAAGCTGTGTCAGGATGGGTTCAGACTGGACATTAGGAAGTATACCAAGAGCATGGTCAGACACTGGAACAGACTTCCAGTGGTGGTCAATACCCCAAGCCTGATAGTGTTTTAAGAGGCATTTGGGTAATGCCCTTATTGTGCTTTAACTTGGTCAGCCCTGAACTGGTCTGGCAGTTGGACTAGGTGATCATTGTAGGTTCTTTCCAACTGAAATAACCTGTTCTAAAAAACAACATCTGGTTTCACAATGGGAGGTGACTTCATGACATCCAGCTAGTAAGACCCAATAAACCAGTGAGTGCTTTTTAAAAAAATAATGCTTTTAATACCAGTGCATTCTTTTAGTGCCCTATGTGACTGCCAAGTTAATTGAGTTATTTTCCCTTAGTTTTGGTAAGAGCAGGTCAGATTCTAAAGGTTTGCTCTCAGTATACATTAAAGAAATGCCTAAGATGAAAATTGCAAAGAGCTCCTGTTTACTGCACAGCGATCAAAGCATGACCCTTACTGGCAAGAAAAAGAAATTGAAAGCTAATTTCAAGGTTCAGGATTAATTTTCTGTCAAATTGACAGAAGAGAGCCTACACTAGACTACATTTAGCATAAATGTAGAACCTTCTTTATCTGTTCCTTTCAGTGTGCAACTTATTACTTTGATTTCATGGTTCCATAGCACAAGTATTTTAAAAGTTAGCTGTCTGAATCTAGTTTAAATATCTACAAACACATGCTTTTTTTCCAAGTGAATCTATCCATTTGCTTCCTATTAACATCACTGTTCTCTACTGATGACCTTTTCCTGAATGTGTGTTTTTCCATCTTCCCTACAGCAATTGCCTAGAAATGATTGTCATATAAGGAGTTGGCTATGGCAAACAGGAAACATCAAAGCACTACAGCCAGCATGCTGGATCACAGAGTGAGAGCTTGCCCTACTTCATCTCACAACAGGGACCCTGAAAATGAAGAAAGTGACCTTCCTATTGAAGATTATGCAGCAAAGGAGGCAGAACTAGGAACTGTCAGACAAGGCAGTCCTACACCTGTGGAACATGAGTGCAATGATAACAGTGGAGATGGTGATTCCAGCTCTGACTATGTAAATAACACCTCAGAGGAGGAGGACTATGATGAAGGCTTGCCAGAAGAAGAGGAGGGGATCACATACTACATTAGATACTGTCCAGAGGATGACAGTTACCTGGAAGGAATGGACTGCAATGGGGAGGAGTATGCTCCCCATGAGGAACATCATGTTGAAACAGATGAATGTCAGGAAGCTGTAGAAGAATGGGCTGAAGGTAAAATTCAGCACCAAGATGAAAATGAGGTGGCAGACAGGCAAGAGTGGCAGGAAGGTCAAGAGAATGGTGTTCAGATCTTGGAGGATGAAGCATCATCTTTGGAGATTCAAGACCAAGAAGAAAATATACAGTACTGTCAAAGTGAAGGTGACTATCCGGACTATTACCCAGCAGAGGCTAATGGAAATTCACAGGGAATATCACCATACCATTCTAGAAAAGAGGATACAGAGCTGGAAGAGCAGGAAGAGGACATTGACCAGATTGTAGCAGAAATCAAAATGAGTATGAGCATGAGCAGTATTAATAGTACAACAGAAATGAGTCCAGAGCACACTGGGACTGAAAATATGACACATGACTACAAAGAGACTTGTTCAAAGGGAGAAGCTGTTCACACTGCTAACAGGCATGAGGGGAGGCCAAAATCACTGAACATCCCATCTGCCTCTAAGCACAGTGGAGATGTGCCTAGAGGCTTTAAAGCAAAGTCCAGGACTCCAGAGGACAGACAGAAGTGGCCACAAGAGCAGGTAAGAGGTACTCTGTTTATCCAGACTGTCAGAAGCATTATGCAAGTGTTGTGTTAGTTATTCCAAACAAAATTAGCAATGTTTTTACTGGTATTGCATTCCCAGCCACACAGTCACATTGTGGGTGTAGAAAAAGGTGCTGAATGTAATCTGTATGTACAGAGAACTAGCCAAGAGGTTTAACACAGAGAACAGACAGTTCTGAGTAAATAAAGGTATTCCAGATGCATAAACCACAGTTTATTTACACTGTTTTCATTCTGCAGTGACACACTAGTGAAACAAAACTGTGGTCACCATTGAAATAGTTGAATTTCTTTTCCATTCATGGCTCCTGTACCATTGCCTTAGTGGGTGATGACTTTTAATTTCTTTTGTTTTCAATGAGCTAAGTACTACATATGGTAAACAACTGCAAGAAGTGCCTGCATATTGCTGTGGTTTTTCTACTAGCTGGACATATCTTGACCTTGACAAGAAGGAAGAAATAGGAGCTTTACTTATACCAGAAATGCTGTTAAGCAGCTTTATCACAAGAACAATGTAGAAGTTAATTAAAGCCATGAACAGTCTTTTCTTGTTCTAATGTTGAGTGCCAGAAAAAAAGAATCTGAGAACAAAGCTCAAGCTTTTGTAAAGGAACAGAGGTGTGACTTTTTTCTCCCCTGAAGTTTCAGATTGAGTGTGCTGACTTGCTTAGAGAGACATATCTCATTCCCTGAGGTCAGTTTAAAGCTTTGCCTTTGCACCTCTAAAGTGAAATGCAGCTGAATGTTCATTGCAGGAGGTAACTAACAGAGATCTACCTAAAAGAGGTAAAACATAACGTGGATTTAGATAACAGACTAGTGAGGATAAATGAATTATTTTACTTTCTCTTTAATTAAAATGCTTTATTAAACTTCAGATGCACTAAGTTTCCTGTTTCGGCCTTAGCAAATCTGTAAATGTGATTTTCTATAGTTAAGTGCCTCACAGTGAAACAACTTAATCTAGGTGATTCCACTAAAAACAGACATTAAAATATGTTAATTCCTTTGAAAAACAGTAAAAGGAAATCAAATGTGTAAGTATATGCTGATGAAACAACTCGACCTTTATTACAATTCTGAACAAAAACCTTAGGGGGATATTTTGAGATTTCCCATGTCTGCAGCAAGTTTTTAATATTCATCTCTACATTCTATTTTCAGAAGTATAATTATAACCAAATTGTGTAACTTACTATATTCAGTGCCCTGCTGCCAGCATAAATGTTCTTGTGTGAATAAACTTGATGGTCCTGAATGGCTGGAATAGTTACTAGGTGTTGGCTAGGAGCAGAGAAGTTGAGTTAGCATGTTTTGGACTAGTGATGGTCTTTCTGGCACAGCACAGCAGCAGCTGCTGCTGGGAGTGTTGCCTCTTGCAAGTTTTTAAAAGAGCAAAAGAGGAGCTCTTGGATAAAGTGAATTCTTCTATGCTTGACTTGTTGATTTTTCTTCGACCAGATGATTGTCCAGTCAAAAGAAAATTCAAAACAGACTTTGATTACAACATCTTTTTGTACTGTTTTGAAATTTATTTATCAGAGGTTGAGCTGAATGGCATTGTACCTCAATTACTCTTAATAGTATGCTAACAGCTGAGAGTTGTGTAACACCAGGATATTGATATTAGCAGCCACTGGTGTGAAAATAAACAAAAGGATCTAAGTGTTCTGAACTATCTGAGCCTTAATTGTTATTTCCAGGCAGTCTTGGACCAATGCCTTCATCTTGGCTAATAAGATAGGTAGCCACAGGCTGGCACGTAACCACTGGGCATAGCAACCACAAACTATTGGCTAAATGATAGAGCATTAAACAGCACACAGTGTCATTCCTTCAAATAGGAACAAAAGAAGTTAGAGATACAGGATAGCATGGGGCAGTCCCAAGCTATCCTGCTGCTCCCTGACAACATTTGGAACTTTAGTTTCTCCCATTGCACTTGTAAGACACATGCAGAGAATGATCACATTGCCTCTTATTTTACTAAGTTAATGCTAACCTCTACAGTCAGGTAGCATAATTAAAGAATGGTAGAAGCAGTGAAGAAGCTGATTAAACTGACTGTTTAATCAGCCTTTTGTTCTTAATGTCTACTGTAGGGAGATTTCAGACTATAGACTCCTGAGAATGTATGTTGTCTCCTATCCTATTCAAACACATATACCAAGAATAAAAGGTAACATTTTTAACAGCACCAACACTCTACCCCACCTGTATATTAGGAATGCCTTACTGGAATCCAGACTGAGAATTAAGGGATGCATTTGATAGATTTTAGAAAACACAAAGAGGTGTACATGAGGAGTATTAAAAAAGCTTCCTGCATTCTCCCATGTGTTCTAGGCAGTTATGGGGCAGAACTAAATAGCTGTTACTGAGTGACAGTTCCCAGACTTTTCAAGGACTTCCTGGAAAGTACTAAACAGCCCAAAGATTCTCAAACAAACCCAGATTCTCTGTGCTAATTGGCCGAGTCACAGCTGTTTAGCAATCAGCTCCTGACAACAGCAGACAGCAAAATCAGTGCCTCTTACCTAAAGATGCATTAGTGACAGTCTTCTCTGGGAAGTTTAAAGCAGCAATTGCATCTACATAAAAATCCATCATACAGCAGAGATGTTTCTCTGAAAATGATCATGGTTGGTTCTCCATTTTAAATATATGCAAGGTCAAAAAAACCCCACTTAGTTCTTTTAAGATGAGAAAAAAACCCTGGCAATTATTTTAATGTTCATTGAAATTTGATAGATTATTGAAATGTGGAATACTTAGATCTCTAAACTTCCTCTGACTCCTCTTTTCTTCATGCTTCATACTGTAACTTGACTTGCTTACTTAGAACTACTCCTTCTTACAAATATTTTTCTCTTCATTTCTGTGTGTGTGTGTGCTGGCACCACCTCTAAATTAGCACGTAAGTAGGGGAATCTTTGGGAGAGAACAGAGTGCAATGTCTGACTTTTTTTTTTTCTTGTGATCACAATCAGAAATCTTTCAGCTAGTAAAGAACTGCCTCATTCACATTCTGTCACTGTAACTGTGTCTTGCTGGGCAAAATTGCTCCTACCAACAATAGCATGTTACTAATATAACTCAGTAAGGTCACATTAAGTCGTTCCCACTACACACCACAGCATCAATGAGAGAAATTACTTCAGTTGTGTAGTTTGACAGGAATAGTACCACCACTATAGACTTGCTACCAGGCTACCATCTCTTCAGTAAAAAACATGTTTCAGATGCACCTTGGTGCATTTTTGTAAATATAGTAGTGCTCAAATATCAGGACATCACTTAGCCCAGTGATAAACTGTTTTCAGAAACCAACAGAACATCACAGAAAATGAGAAATAGAACTTTTGTCCTTAAGAGGCAAACATAATACCCATCTGCTTAACTTCTGTTCTGGAGAGACACAACTAACCTGGATTGAGAGGTCAATTGTTGGCTTAGTTGTGCAACAAGTAGCTTAATAATCTAGTCATTTTACCACAAAACATCTCTTTCCCAAGAAGCTTGATTTTTCTTCTCTTGGAGCCTACCACAAGGAACCATTTTCAAGTGGAACCTACCACTTGAAACTTAGTCATCTTCAAGATGAGTTTCAGAATACATAAGCCAAGTACATTGGTCTCTGAACACATTATTTGATAATACTAAGCACTATTGCTAGCAGAGATTGGCAGGTATGGATCAAAAGCCTCATTATTCAAATGTTTAAACATGGTAATAAAGCCTTACCATGCCTTTGAGCTCCTCTCTCAGACAAATTATTCCTCTGAATAAATCAATAAAGTGACTAACGTGCTGCTTCCCAGCAGAATGTTCTCCAGTAGGAAAGTGCTTCATCAGTGCTGAGCATTCAGGATCACAGGCAGTGACTTTGAGGAGGACCAAAATTGCTGAGATGAGCTTTTGACTGACAAGCTGAGGAGCTTACACTGGAGTAAACAACCCATAGTGCTAACAAACAGCAGCACTCAGGCATCACCAACCCTCACCTCCAGCTAAGAGGGGCCTGGTGCTGGGAGAAAAGGTGGTTTTGAAGGTGGTTTGGGTAGCTCGGAGGGGTCCTGCAGGACTGGGGGGAGGAGGAAGCCCCAGGTGGCTCCAGGCCTGGTAATGAGCCATCAGGACAGGGCATGGGTGTAGATGCTTCAGTGACCTCAGATCAGTCGGTTCTGATTTTCCTCTCAGCTTTAAAATGGTATTTTTTGCTGCCTCATGTTCCTTCGTATGATACTGGACACTGTCTCAGTACCTGCTCAGAAGCAAAAGTATTAATAATGCTACACCTTTAATATTTCTATATCTTTCCTCTTACCAGAATCTTATTCTAGAGTAAGAGACTTTTGATACAGCAGTACCTCTGTGTTAGTATGCAGTCAGGTCCAGATTTTTGGTTTAGCTTTAGGTCCTATTCTAAATTGCAACTCAGGGCATAAAGTATTTGTAATACCCTATAAGTGTTTCCCTCAAATATAATTTTTCCAGCTATCTTAACACTCAAACCAACAACATAAGTTGGAAACTATGTAACAAATATGAATAAATCAAAGATTAAGTATGATTTCTTTGACACTGGTCAGGTCACTTGGGAGGGAGCATGAACCAACTTCCAGCCCACACCGAATACCAGAATTTATGTTTTCTAAAAATGATACCTTAAAGAAGCTCCAGAATAGCCCCTTCATCCTTGGTCTAGAAGCATTTCCTTCCATCCATACAAGACTACATGGTTTGTAACTGTAGGGGAGATACAGCCATGTCTACTCTGCATAGTTCTGTCCTTTGACACCAAAAGTCTTAGGGAATAAAAGGGAAGCCTTTCTCCCTGTGCTTCTTTCTTGTCTGCCTGAGACAAGCACAGCTCCCCTTGCATATGCTGCTGCTGCAAGCTGTGCTACACTCCAGAGCTGACAAGAGCTCAATAATGTGATATTACAGTCAGCTTTGTTTGGAGGAAGTGCTCACAGTGACATCCTTCCCTCCCCATCACAACATTTGAAAATAGCAAAGTGCAAATAGATCAGCCAGAGGTGGAACCTATTGTGTGCACAAATGTGCCTAAAGTAAATGGAAGAGTTCTTTGTACCTGAGATTCTGCCCAGTTAGTCTGGGGATAAACACAGAGGTGAAACTCAGGGGGGAAAGAAATGGTCTTCGTCTACAGACATCAGATAGTAAGAAAAAACATTGTGTTCCTTGTAGAGCTGATGTAATTGATTCCCAGCTCACCATGTATTCTGCATAGACTTCTCTTTGGAACCAGCCAATACACAGTAACAACATACATGCTACATATGTGGCTAGGAAACAATAAACAAAGCTTATTCATATTTGTAAAATCCTGAAAAAAAGGAGCTCCAGTAAATTCCAGCTATGTATAATCTAAACTGAAATGTCATCCAAGTGTTTAGTCATATTTTGTGTTAGGACTGTATGGAATTTCATATGCAACAATTACCAAAGAGCATGATTGGTATTATGATCCCCAGGGCTGGATAAATCCATCCACATATCAGATTTGTGACAGAGTCATGTTTCAATCATGTTCCAGCACACAGGGATGCTCACTAAAGCAGACAACCAATTCTTTCCTTACATGCAGGTGCATTTTCAGTTCAGTCAAGTGTGTGCTAATCAGAACTGACAGCTTTAGAAGTGTTAACATTCTGTTGTACATACTGGAATTAATATATTTTCTGTCAGTGTTTACAGTTTAATGTGTCTTCATTGTGGCCATGTCATAATCCCTGCTTAAAGGATACTTGATCTAAATCCTACTATTTTAGGGAATAATGCATGATTATTATGCTTGTTTTATTAAAGCCCTCTAGATACTTGTTTACCTCATTAATATATTTCACTGGACATCAACAGATATTGCTCCATATTAGTGTAGCCATGCAATAGAATTAGATTTGTCTCAGAGTAGTGTTTCTAGGCAGGGACATGCTAAGCTTCTTGGCTCATGCAGCCACGTGGACAGGGCACTAGTCAGTGCATCCCCCAGTTTTGGTGCTCTGTGTGTATCTCAGACCTTTCTTTCTTAAAATCCTGCCTACTACTTGGGTGAATCTTTGCTTTGTGCACGTTGTGTTACCTGAGAATTCTCACCCTGAGCTCATAGCTCTAATGTGCTTTCTTCATTAGCATATTTTGTTCAGCTAACTATTACTCATGGGGAATAATTTGTCTAGAGGTGAACATAAAGACTTCCTTTGACTACAGCTGTGCATTGCATTTGAAAGTCAGAAGAGGAGTTATGTTCACATTTAGCATTCAGGCTCACCCTTACAAATCAGACTGGCTCAGTGTTTCCACAATTGTCAATACAAGTTTATATTTTACTATGACAGTGGCATTTAGGCACTCACACTCAATAAAGAAACTAAGCAAAAAGAAAATGAAATATCCTAAACCATAAAAATTTGTTCCAGAAATCACCTTAGTTTTCCAGATTTCTAGCATTGAAAATCTGAGTCATGAAATCTTCACTTTCTTGGTACGTATGGGACATGGGCACTCCCTGTGTTGTGTGGCTTGTGTCAGGTCAGAAGAAATTCTGGCCCTGAAAATATTGGATCTTGGGAAAAAATATTAGTATTTTCCTTGTGTGAGGTTTTATAGTTTCTCTTTTACATCTCTTCAGAAGCCTGAAGCTGTGCTGGCAGCATCTGGTAGATTTGCTGGTAGACACAATGAAATGAAGGAGATTTATCTCCCATGAACACAGGATCCTATAGTCAGTGCTAGAATTCTGTTTTTCAGATCAGAGATGGCCCTTAGGACTATTTTGATTTTTGTCCAGATTGAGAACAAACACATTTAAAAATTCTGACTTCGATTTCTGAGTAATTTGAACATGTCAGCATTTGGCTTAATTTCATGTGAAAAATCTGCATGGAAATAAAATAATTTACATTTAAATCAGTAATGTAACTGCTGCTTAATGATAATGAAATGCCTTATTACTTACATCAAAGTGGATCTTTTATTATCATTAAACAGCTTAACATTTTCATATGGAACATATTTGCTAAATTACAATAGGAAATTCTGTTATATCAAATTATCATATTTCTGTACCAGTAATTAATATTAATCGTACATAAATAACTACAGATAAGCAATACAGAACGTGCTAAATACAGTTTCATATGTTAATAGTTTGCAAATTTTCATTTAAATCTAATTTAATCTGGTGAAAATTTTCTGCCTAGCTTTGTACCATTGACTTCAGCCAAGATCTCTGCGTTGTTTTGAAGCTTTTCAGAAAACAGAAGGATTTGAAATCCCTTATTTTTCTTACAGATGTGCAATGGGTTAGAGCAGCCAAGGAAGCAACAGCGTTCAGACCTCAATGGACCAGTTGACAATAACAACACACCTGAGGTAGGTCCTGGCAGCCCATTCTGCTCCTGTTCCTGCAGTCAGGCTTCCAGGAGGGAAAGCAGCTTTCTCCCTCTCACACACACACACACTTAGGCTCTCTTTCCTTTCCTGAACTGACAGTAAATACTGTGTCTGCCTCCTCTGAAAAGTCTTTGAACTATACTCATGAATTTTTGCTGCCTCATTCATTTTATGTAACTGTTCATGGTATGTGCTCAAGCCTAAACTTTTGTGATGGCATACAGAATAGGAAGAACACTTCAGAAATTCTCTTTTTTGGATTATTGGAGAGCAAAAGTAGCATGAAAAAGAAATCATCTTCTGCTTCTATTCCTCCCCCACCCCACTCCCAGTGTCAGTCCTGGCTTAGTCAGCTGTGAAGAGATGCAGTGATAGACAGACCTGCTCTTGTCACTGAAGACTGGAGCAAAGAAAACATCTAAGAATGCAGAATGAGTTATGCTTGAGGCTAGACACAATGAAATGAAATTGAGACTTCAATATAGAAGTCTGTTATCTCAAAACCATATAACATATTTAGCCTGTAGCCTATTATATTAACGAAGAGACTAATTTCTAAAGCCTTTTCCCATAACAGAGAAATCAGCCTCTTTCCTGGAAACAGGAATGACTGAGGAGGCTGGGAAACACAAGTGAATGGAAGGACTGTATCTGTCTATTGAGAATAGAGACAGTGCTGTAAAAAGAGCACTGTTGTGGTCCCTGCTGAGGTTAAGCATAATGCTATGTACTGTGCAGTCAGGGACAGTTCTTTTTATTCACTGACCCAGAATCTTGCTTTGTAAAACATTGTTAAATGTTCTCCATTAGAAATTTGGGATATCATTAATAGGCACTGTGATCTAGTGGACAAACTATTATTATTGGACTGGAAATTGCTGATTTGTATTGCTCATTTGACAGCTGACATGTCATTTTCATGGTGTTCCCCCCTGCCTCCTTTATTTTTTGTGTGGTGGGGATCTGTGTAAAATACTTGGAGATTCCAGGTACAGGGTGCTCTGTAACACTTAGGGTGGATTAATGACTGCCACGTGATGTGTTTCACTGTGCTAAATAGTGGCTATGTGACAGTGATCAGCTGTTTAAATGTGAGATAAATTCACTTCATTGTGTGAAAATTATTTTGTTACAGCTATGCCATTTTTATTTCTCAACAGACAAAGAAAGTGTCTTCCTTTCCAAGTTTTGTCGATGGTAAGTTTGACACCAACCATGGTTAAAGTAAGATACAGTGAAAGCAAATACTTTAATATATATGTTAAAAATCAATTTCTCAAAACCAGTCAAACCCAAGAGAACACAGCTGTAAAGTGAGAAAAGACAATAGGACACTTCCAAGGATCTGACCCCTTAGATCTACCATGAACACACAATAGAAACCATAAAAGAATATTAAAAACTTGATTTCTAAAGCCATTCTCAACTCAGGAAAAGCTTAATATGATTTAGAATAATATTATCATGTCCAACACATTCTATTTTTTGTATGCTATGTGAACATAAAAGAAACCCCTAGGTAACAGGCCCAAAAATATTGGAAATGTGTCCTTTTGCTGTTAGAATTGTTTTAGTAGTACTGTGTCCTCATAGAGGTAATTAGTTCTAGTTGAGCAGTTCAGGCTTTTTTGCTCTCTGTTGTATCACCATAGATGTTACTCCCTTGCACAGTAACAAGCATGACAAAGTGAAGCAATCAGACAAAATATGGAAGTTGTGTACAGACATTCTGCAAGGTGACTTAGCTCTGTGTCCATTTCCTCCTTATGCAAAACCTGCTGCAGTGCCCCAGCATCCCAATGGCCCAGTGACTTCACAGTGCATGGTAGTCCTCAGCAACAGCAGGAAGGGTGCTTCTGTGCTCAGAGTGCAGACTCTAAATACTGTCCAAACTCTTGGGTTACACATGATGTTAAATAAATTTAAAAATGTATTCCTAACAGATTAGTAAATTCAGTTATGCTGAGTTATTGAATGAGTATCTTTTTCCTTAGTTTATGAGTACAAATGTTCATTTTAAAATGTTTAGACCTATTCTACTCAGTCTAGAAATGGGTAATCCTCAGAGTGCAGACTCTAAATACTGTCCAAACTCTTGGGTTACACATGATGTTAAATAAATTTAAAAATGTATTCCTAACAGATTAGTAAATTCAGTTATGCTGAGTTATTGAATGAGTATCTTTTTCCTTAGTTTATGAGTACAAATGTTCATTTTAAAATGTTTAGACCTATTCTACTCAGTCTAGAAATGGGTAATCTCTGTTTCATTGATAAGGTAGTGCAGAAATTTACAGTTAGATTTTTCGGAAATAGTTATCTAATGTTTAAGCTCCAATACTCAACATAAAATTCCAATATTTTTTCACATCAAACTAACCTGCAAGTTAGAAATCTATTTCTTCTTGCCTTCCTCATCAGTAAGCCTTACACATGCTTGCAGCCAAGGGCATGCTTAAGTGCTCTGATGAGCTGGGACCTCTGCCAGGTCTGCATTTTTGTTTTATTTAAAGCAGACAGGGAAGAAAGCACTCAGGTAACCCAATTTGACCCCAGCAATTTTCAATACCATTCCAGCCTTCCAACAGATGTCTTACTTTACCTGACAACTGCTTACATTGCCTTTGTGATGGGAAATGTATGTTGGAAATGTTTTCTGCCCAACATGTCTTTTTTTTTTGGTGGTGTTTTATTCTGTATTACCTATTGCTGTGAGCATTTTATACATGCTGTTCATTTATACATGATGTTGCAGACTGTTGCTAGTCTGATGGATTCTGCAGAAAATCACTTTCTAATGCTGCAGAGCAATAATGATACTTTATCCAACCAAAAAAAAAACCCACAGTCTGTAAAGAATCCAAATAAATAACGTATATTTTTCCTTCTCCACAAAATAATCTTCCACATTGAACTGATTATAAAGAAGCTGAACACTGAACAATAAACCTTTCTTTTTTTTAAATTAACATCTCCATTCAGTGTCATTTTTTTCCTCACATGAGATTGCTATACTTTGTAAAAATCTGTTGGAAGATTGGCAAGTTGATCGAGCTCAAAGCAAATTTCTTTCATGTAACTGTTGAAGAACAAAAAATATTCACCATCAAGAGATTTCAGCCAAACTCTGGAATGACTGTTCTTTAGTGAGATGTAAAGCTTAACAGCTGAGTAAAGAGGATGATGAGCATAGTCCCAGTATGACATGAATATTATCCTTTATTCTGGTCTCTCTGTCCTCTTTTTTTCATCCCTGGAAAGAAACAACTTGCAAAATACAAGTTAATGTTAGATTTTCACCGAAGTCACTGTGTAATTAATACTAAGTGCATGCAAAGGCATTTTGTTGAATGAAGGCTAAAAGGAGACTTTTCTGCCAGTCTCTGAATTTAGGCCTTCCACGTGACTAAACAGCATCAACAGTTACTGCTTTGCCTTTTTCCTAAACTTTCTTAAGTGTTAAGTTTCATAGTGGACTTTGCTGAATCAAAGTACACCTTTGTGCCCATTGCTCATTAGTATTTTTGCTAGACATAATGTTTGGGGACCGTGTGCTTTTAGAAATAAGTCAAAGAAATGTGTAAACATAAATCTGTATTTCAACAGAAGTTCAGGTCATGCTCGGTAAGACTCATAAATAGTAAGAAAGTTATGGTAAAGGTACCTATCAGCATTTCTGAAACTTGCAAACAATTCCAGTGTGTGTCAAAGTGCAACATAGAAAGAATTTTCCAGTTATTTTCCTCTAGAATTCCACACTCAACCATTGTGCAATGTTTTAAACATTGTATGTTTTTTTGGAAGTAATTATAGGGAAAACCATAATTTATTTTGCACTGATTTCTTTACCCATTTCATATTAGAAAAGATACTAAAAAGGCTGTTCAAGCCTCAGTATCCTGTATTCAGTTTCTCATCTCTCCACTCTTTTGAAAGGCAGTGACTGTCAATGTCTCCTGTCAGTTCCAGGACCTTGTGAACCTGAAGATCTCATCGATGGGATCATCTTTGCAGCCAATTACTTGGGCTCTACCCAGCTGCTTTCCGAGCGCAACCCTTCCAAGAACATCCGCATGATGCAGGCCCAGGAGGCAGTGAGTCGTGTTAAGGTAGGGCAGATCTGTGGTTTGTAGAATACTCTCTGATCCTTTGACAGTTGATCTCCAAGTGGTACAGGATCTGCAGCTTCAAACGTCTCCTGAATGCACTTATGTAAGTATAGACCTAGCACTGTGAATTGCATTAGTTTCCAGTGCTCGTTATAAAACTACACACAGCATCTCTGAGGAACAAAATATAAATTATTCCAGACTCTGTTCAAAATTCTTTGGAAGTTGCATGACAAATTCAGGTATTAAAAACAAGTTGCCGATGGCAATTAGAAAATATTCCAGTGGCAAAGCACAGGATATTTGGTTGTCTGTGGTTTTGCTCTTATGTCATTAATTCATTTCATTTACTACAAATTGCTAAGATTAGTCCAAGTATATTGAATTATAACTTTTTTAGGGCAAGAACATACCTTATTATTGTGTTTGAATTTGGTGTTATTTACAGTGAACACTTTGTTTGTAAATAATATAGCACAGATTGTTTCGTAGCGCTGTGTAAAGAAAATCTCTTTTTGGTTAATAATCCAAATAGGAGATTTCTCTTTTACAGATTTTTGTTAATCTGCTGTAAATACCTCATCTGAATAAACACATGGTTAGAAAGAGGCAGATTTAAATGTTAATAGAAAAAGTATGTGCTTAATCAATAAAATAATTAATTGCTAAAAATTGCATGTTTTTGAAGGAAACCAATTTGGAACAGCCACTTGCTTAGCAAGAGACTGTCATGACTGATGATTGATTTGGCATTTAGAAACAAATGGAAGGCAAGAAAGATCTGGTTCTTTAAACTTTCCAAACCTTTGAGTTGCTGTTTAGCATATTGTGATGTCTCAGGCTATAGTAAGTAATGGCTGATTGCAATTAACTCCCTCAGAACTCTTTTGTCTATTAATACCAATCTATATTGTTAATACAGACAGGAATCCTTGGGTTTTAGATAGTGCATGTACTGCCACTTTTGATTGCTGTATATTTAGCATGGTGTTCTGAGCAGCTGTTAACAGACAACTCTTTGGTACCAATTTTGCTTGTAATCAATTGACAAGATAAATAATGCCATGAAATCCAATTATGCTTGAGAACTGCATAAGGTATAAACAAATCTTTCTGTCTTGCACATCCTTCTCCCACTGCCCCCAGTTTTTAAATTTTTAACAGCCTGGACTCAGAGACAAAAGGTTTCCCTGACTTCCCACACTGTGTTTTCTCTTTCCTTGTGTGTACATCTGTCTGCATTCTTTTTTTATGCTACTCCTCAGAGGATGCAAAAGGCGGCTAAAATCAAGAAAAAAGCGGTGTGTAAACTGTTTTTCTTGAATGCTAATGTTTACTTACATTTTTGTTGTACATATTCTCCATGGAGTGTTATGTCTTTCATTATGGGTCCTCATAAAGTTGTCATTTTGGTTTCTTCTTTGTTAAGCAGTAGAATAGTGGATGGAGTAAAATGAGCTCATTTTCTTCATTGTTCAGTTGCTGGAATGCCTGTCTGCTGCCTTTCTTCTCCTGAATACCTGGGATTTGTTTAGTCCAGATGTACAGCCAGTGTGAAAAAAAAAAAATCCCAGGAGATTTTTTTTTAAAATGTAATGCTTATGTTGATTTTACTAAGTGAAGCAGTAAGATGTGTTTCCTGTGACTTACTATATATTTATTAAATTATTGTTGATACTTCAAAACAAAATAACTTTATCCCATAGCTGGAACAGCTTTTGTAGAGAAAACATTTCACACTCAGTTAAAACCAATACCTCAGTTAACTAAGCACAGTTAACAAAAATATCACTAGAAGGGTGGAAGCAAGACAAGTAACCTCTGCTAAAGTGTGTGCTTGCTTTGTACTTTGCTGGATCAAAATTCAAATCCAATTACTCTGAATGAATGATAGGCATAGCTAAGCCTTTAGAACTCCACAAAGGAACAGAGAATACATCATTTTTCCTTGCACTGTCTCATCAAACCAGTCTCTGAGCTGGAGACTGATGCCTTTAGCTCAGGGTGGTGCCATCTGTGGCCACGTTATCCTGAGGCTGCTCAGTGCCAGTTGCAGAGTGCACTGTGGACAAGCAGCCTGGAGGAATACACAGGATCCTGCTGGAACTCAGAGTGTTAGGTAAGCTCATGGACAATGCTTCAGTGAGAGGAAGCAGCTGCTTTGCCACTTCTTCTCCTGTTTTCTCAGGGCTCACACTTGAGAAGCATGTGGCATTGCACTAATCCCTCCTGCACTGTGACCATGTTCTCTAGTGGGATATGAAGTGTTTCCCTAGTGAGCAGTGCTCAGGAGTTGAGGTCTAAAAGTCAGCTGATGGCTTTCTGTGATTTGAAATATTAGTTCAGCACTCAGTTCTTTATTTAAAAAAACCCCCAAAACTTAAAAGACCTAAACCCCACCAAAGTACTGAGCATCAGCTTGCACATTTTTCTGGTGAGACAGCAAGGGCTAAGCAGCTGATGAGGACTAAGTCACTTTCTCAGTTCTCCTACTTTCTCAGTTCTGGTGCCTCAAGTACTGAAGTGCATCAGTGAGAAAGTGGGGAAAAAACAGCCATACTTTTTCTCCTTTTCTGGTTATAAATAGAGAGTTTTAATCCTTGAGCTGTCAGTCCCACAGGCTCCAAAAATTCCCTCTTACCCTGAAAATCTGAGTATGCTTCTCTCCTTCTACATAATAAATGTGTTCTTTGCATGTATTTAGAAACACCTTTGACTAGCCATCTTTGCAGTGGTTTAAGTGCAGTTACCTCACATCACATTATGCTTGAAGCAATCAGTGAAGTTGTCATTCTACAGAGAAAATTAACAATCCCCTCGTAACAAAGCATCTGTCTTTTAGACTTCAGAGGGAGATTCCCAGGCCTTGACTGAAGTGGATCTGTTCATCTCCACACAGAGAATCAAAGTTTTAAATGCAGACACACAGGTAAGTTACGATTTAAACTCTTCAAGAATAATGTTGAGTTAGACTTAGCTCTTATACAATGAGTGGGACACTTGGCTGAATTTGGGTAAATTCACTGCTGTGAGAGTACTCAGGAAGAGCAGTGTTAGAGCTCCTAGTGTTGTAACACTTGTCAGTAGAGTAATAGTGACACCAATTTTGTTGATTTGATGTACTGGGCAGTATCTGAGTGTTGCTGAGAGCTGTAGTTCAGCTTAGGAATGTCTTTGAGAATGCATGGACACTGTTTCTTGAACAGTTTCAGAACTCAGATGTACAGTCCAACAGGGAGGTCATTTGCTGCTTTGACTAAGCTATTCATATCTTGCCATTTTTAACATTTAATCTCAATTTTTTTTCCATAAATCACATCTGAGCCACCATCCTCTTTGCCTAAGGTAAATTATTAGTCATTCATATAAAAGCAGCATCTGGACACCACAGCAATGATCAGCTTTGTCTTCTGGGAATACTTAGATATTCAACAAGAGTTGATCTTCATAAGGAGTTTTTTAAGGCATTTACAATTAAATATATAAAATTTATACATGGATCCAAATGTTTAAGTATAAAAATCCCACAAGATCTCTTAGACTTGGATCATACTTACGGAAAGTCTTTAACTTTTCATTCTTATAAGAAGTGTTGAAAATAGAAATTTTAGTGATGTCTTTTTCTTTAGTTTTGGACTAAAAAGCTCCATTGAACACAGCCAACAGCAGTTGAAAATCATAATATCTCGAGTTACACTACAGAACAAACTATTTAGAAAGTGCTTTGTGCAGCTAGATACAGCCAAACTAGAAAAGTCATCTTGTATTTGGGAAACTGGTTTGAGTGGCCTTATGCTATCCTTTTACTGATACTCTGCCAGAATTAGGAAGGTGTTGTTTAGGTTTGGGTTGTTTTAAGTAGCAGAACAGACCATGGATTACAATAGATGAGTTTAATTGTCAGAAAAATATCAAAACAAACAAACCCATTGTAGGCAGTTTGTGAGCTGAGATGAACAGGAGTCAGCACAGATTTGTCAGAAGTAAATCGTGTCAAATCAATCACATTCTTGTGTGAACAGGGAATATATTTGTCCATGGCACAGAAGCAGCACACATCACCTCTTGCCATAAATAAGGCTTTTATCTCATATAATATTTTCTAAATAGTATGATCTAGATACAAGAGATAGGAGCAGGTTTAACAATTTCTGAGTGTAGTTATATCTGGTATATTGTCATCTATAAAGAGAAAAAGAGCAGAGTGAGACTCACAAATGTTTCTTTGATGTAGTACTGTTCAATATTTTCATAAACAACTTGGAAGATGGAAAGAGAAAATGGTTATGGACCTTACATATATAAGACCTTACATGTAGAAGATCAGAGTTAAGAAATGTCATGGCTAACTGAAGAAATGAACTGAAACTGTAGGAGATACTTGAATAAAGATAAATGTAGCACTCTACATTTAGGGTTTGGGTTTGTTTTCAGTTAGTATATAATTTATTTTTCTAACAATGGAAACCATGAAGCACCTGCTTCTTCCTGAAACTTAAGGGAGAGCATTACTGTCCTTTAATGTGAGGGTAACGATAGTATCTCCAGGAAATGGATTATTTTTCTTTTAACATAAGCAGATGTCCTTAATATGCCACCAGAACTCCCAAGAGGGAGAGCCAGATGAAGAGTAGAATATCCCATGAAACATGGACAGCAATGTTTACAATCTGTCATCCAGCAATCATCCTGATACTGCATTTTATCCATGATAAGCAACACAGCTGTTTGTTATGCCTCAGCCTTTTTTTGACCTCATGGTAAATATGCATCATCCAGAGAGGATATTAGCAAAGCTTATAGCTACTTTTTGAATTAGCAGAAAATAAAATGCTAGTAATTATCAGTGTAAAGATGACTGTAGACAATTACTGATAGAGGAACAGCTACAGTTTGTAGTTGGAATATATGGCAGTAATAGCTAAGTTCTCTTGTTGACTAAGGATTAACTTAGTGGAAGTCACTATTCTTACTTCTTTAAACAGTTCAGCATTTCAGCTGAACACCAATCCTTTTAAAAAGAAAAACTAAGTCCTTTGAGATAGACCATAAAAACTGTCAAAGTAACTGTCATCTTATTCTTCTGATTCCCTGAGATTTCTAGTGATGCAGAATGCAATGCACCATGGCAAATGGTGTCTAATTTGAGCTGCTCAACTAGATGAAAATCGTAATACTGGAAACTCTTAAAATTTCAAGCTCTCTGGTTGTTGGGGTTTTTTTAATTTACAGTGTGTATTTCAGAGAGCTGTGACAAACTTATTCCCATGACGTTTTAGCATGTTTTTTGGCTTGGTAACATTTTTCAGTGAAGCTAGTGAAGTTTCCTGACTGGTGTAATTACCATGGGTCTGTCTCAGCTGCTGTGGCAGCTGGCAGAAACAGTCTGTACTTTCATGGCTTTATCAATTACATAAAACCCATTTTTGCAGTGTGCCATACATGTTTTAATCCATCTGTAGTGTTGTATAGCTCACATGAGGTAACAGCTGATTGAAAATATAAGATTCTCATTTAAAAAAATGAGATGCAGCAGAGTTCAAAATGCTGAGTAGCACCAGTAAGGTGCACTGGCACACTGGAATGGAGCCAGCTGTGGTAATTTTATTGCCCTCAGCAACAATAGGACATGGCTCTCCTGCCACTTTTTAGTTGCTTATCATTTAGTTGCTGAATACATTCAGCCAAGTCAATCACTTGTTTATTATATATGTAGTAGAAGCAGCTCTAGGTTGTCACATACCTTCTTTGGCTGAGAGGAATTCTTCCCTGTGCCATAGCTTTGTGGGCTTGCAATCAGTGCACAAAACCAGCAGAAATACCACAGCAGCCTCTCCCAGCTTCTTGAAGTGAAACAACTGGGAAAACTAGCAAAGGAAAAGATACCACAAATGTGTGTGCACAGAGCTCTGGTTGGTCCTGTAAAACCATCTGACTCATTAGGCTAATTCTCAACTCCCACAGGACTACATGACTTGAAAGCTTGGAAGAATTGCTTAGGTTTTCTCCTTCAGGCATTCTTTGGGTAGCTAGAGGGACAACAAACAGGGTTCTAAAGAATGCCTCAGAAAAGAAGGGAGATTCTGGGGAAGGGGAATCTAGACAGGAAAGCAGTGATTCTGAAAAAGGCTGAGAGAGGCTGAATTTCTAAGGACAAATACAGGATAGCAAGGATGGAATGGATGGGACCAGAAAAGGAATGAAGGAAAGAATAGAGCAGCAAATTGGGCAGAGATGGCAGGATTCAAGGGAAAGTAATACAGGAGAGAGGGTGAAAAAGAGATATTGCTAGTGGAAGATTGAATATAATGGATTATGGAGTGGGAAAGGAAAGTCAGAAGTATGTCAAAAGTAAATGTGTTTACAGTCAATAATATTTGCCTTATTCATAAATGTAATTGCATTAGCCAGGAAAAATGTGAGAGGGAAATAATGGCTTTCACCCCTACAAGGGGGAAAAATACAAAAGAAACCCCTTTGAGTAACTTGTGTGCAATGATATGGACAGAAAGACTTTCTTGGCAGGTGAGATGAAATGCCTTCATTTTCCCAGTCCATTCACTCTTGTGCACCTGTACACAACACTTAGTGCACACTGCTGCAGAGCAATTATCTCTGCAGTGCTCCCAAGATCCTGCTGAGGTGTCCATTACAAAACAATTCTCCATACTGCCAGAAGTGCTGAGAATCCTCCTGAGTCCCTGCAACCCTTAGAGACACCCCCCAAACCATCTCCTTACCATCATTACTTTTCAGAGTTTAGGGATAAGCATAGAACATTTTCTTTCAAGCCTGAGAAGAATCATTACAGCAATTTTATGGGTAGTGACTATCTGCAGTGGTTCTAAGAAACAATGGTAATTTATATTTTTCTCTGTCAAGTTAAATTGTACTGAAATTCTTAATTACTTTTGTTGTCTTGAGGAACAATCTTTCTTTCTTAGGCCTTAGAAATTTATTCAGCTAATGGTAAACTAATGCCAGGCTGTTGCTGTAAAGAATGCTGCTGCTTACATGACTTATTAAAATCATGAATTACCTCATACCACATTGTCTTATTTCTATTCAGGCAGAATGTGGTGCATGTTTTTAGCCGTTCAGGGTGAGGGACAGAGATGGTCAGGACACATCCTCAGCTAGTTTGATCAATAAAACTATTAAGCTTCTGGTTGTTTCTAGTGTGAGCAATACATAAAAGTCTGGAGAAACTCTCTGAACTGACCATCACTGTAGCAATGTCACATACATTGTTTTATTAAAATGACATTATTTTACATATAGAAACCTTCTAATGAACATGAGATTGGCAGCTACATTAATTTGTACATACTTAATGCTGAATTCAGAAATTATCCAACTTACTACAAGTTTATACTTAGTGGAGCTTCAGAAAGTGGTTATAAAATGTCCTTTAAGGTTCTTCCTTCTGGGACCTCATTGCTCTTTTATCTAAGAAACAATTGATAGAAACATAAACTGGAGACGGAAACAGAAGAGGGAATAGTAATATCTGAAACAAAACAAGTTTAGTGACAACTTGTCCTTTGACTACAAATATACACTCAGTTTTCATTTGTCCAAGGCAACCCAGGCAAAGCCACTGAATAATGTTATATTCCTATGGGGAAAAAACATTTAAGGTAGGAGGTTGGGATTTCCCTGCTAATAGCAGAAAGTAAAATAAGAGTTTAAAAGGCTAAAGTAATTAAAAAGAGGCAGAGCTCAGGGATTTGAGATAAAGGCTTTTTAAATTTAGTACTCTTTATGAGTACTTACATAAGAAATGTTCATTAGGATGAAGCTGAGACAGCTTTTCACTTAAAACCATTCTCACAGGCAGTGGCTCTTCTGAGTTGAGTTCTCCCAGCACAACCACATTGGCAGCATAATGACATTGACTGGAATAGGATTTTGACTGCCAGCCTAAAGACTAAGAGCAGTTCCCTCCAAACTGATCGGAGATATTTAGGTAGCCAAAAACATATTAGAAGTTCTGCCTACAGGGGAGGTGAAACACTGCCTTCAGAACTCTTTACAAAGAAGCTATTGCTTTGCTCTATATGAGAAAATGTTGCCTTAGAAATTCTTGCTATTATAGGACATTAAAAAAATAAGGAAATTACACCATCTCATATGACTGGTAGAACTTCTTGTGTCATGGAATGAATCTGTTGCATTCAGTAAAAGCAACAAAAAAGGGAAACCATTTTCCAACAGCATGAAAATATTTATATAGTAGTACAGCTCTTCATTATTGCTTTAGAGTAGCAACGATGTTGCATTTGCTCAGGCAACACTTCCATTGAAGCCAATTTCATGAACAGCCACTGTGCCTTCAGTTGGGAATTTGGGACCATATAGGGAATACCAGATCTGGACCCACAGAAAGTGCTTCTGTGGCTTTTGTCATTCTCAAGCAGTGGGCTGTGAAGGACAGGGAAGGGGCAGTACCTGTGGAATAGCAGCAGGCATGAGGAATTGCTTTATTTCTCCCTGCTTTCTGTAGGAAACCATGATGGATCACGCACTGCGCACGATCTCCTACATCGCCGACATTGGGAACATTGTGGTGCTCATGGCACGACGCCGCATGCCCAGGTCAGCATCTCAGGACTGCATCGAAACCACACCTGGAGCCCAGGAAGGAAAGAAGCAGTACAAAATGATTTGCCATGTCTTTGAATCAGAGGATGTAAGTACAGGCTTGATTTACGGGCTATCAAACTGATCACTCATCCCAAGATTGGATCCCTTAGTCCAGCAGGTTGGCACATGATGACACGTATATACCTCCAGACACTTGGAATGAGGTGGAACCATCCTGGAGCTCCTTCAAACCAAAGCCAAGTTGTTGAGAACATCTATTGACGTGGTAGGCCTGGCACAAGGCTGTCCTCTACCCAGTCCTTATTCCCTGTGGCTGACTTACCTGTAGCTGGGATTTGTGCTCTCAAACATGCCACTTGATTCTTCGATGTTTAAGAACACATGCAGCTGTTTATTTTTCAGTTCTCTCTTTTCATCCCTAGTAAAGATTATAGTCATAGGATGGCCTGGGTTGGAAGGGACAGTAAAGGTCTAGTTCAATCCCCTCTGCCCTGGGCAAGGACACCTCCCACTAGCCCAGGTTGCTCCAAGCCCCATCCAACCTGGTCTTGAACACTTCCAGGGATGGGGCAGCCACAGCTCCTCTGGGCAGCCTGTGCCAGTGCCTCAGCACCCTCACAGGAAAGAAATTCTTCCTAGGATCTAATCTAAACCTCCTTTCTGCCAGTTTGAAGCCATTCCCCCTTGTCCTGTCACTCCAGGCCTTTGTCAAAATTGTCCATCTTTCTTGTAAGTTCCCTTCAGGTATTGGAAGGTAGAGCTAAGGAAATTTTGTTCTTTGTATTTATAGAGATTTTTCTTCCTGGGCAGCAATTCTTAAGTAAAAGCCAGAAAGAACTCCTTACTCTCACTACCCTTAGTACTTCTGTACAACAGCAAACAGAATGAAGAACTCATTAATGTCACTACCCTTAGTACTTCTGTACAACAGCAAACAGAATTTCAGTCATCTTTATGCTGGAAGGTAGTCTGAGATCCAATATGGTATTAGTCCTAAACCACTTTTTGTTAAAATTCTGTTCAAAAAAAAGGAGTGACCTCTAGGAATTTAGGTTCTAATTGTCATTTGCATTAGAAATATCAAAAGGTGAAAGAACCTGGAGCCATTCTCAAAAGAAGGATTGCAGAAGTAATGGTTGCAAAAGAGTTGTGTAGATCTCTGCTGCACATCCTGTTCCACTGCTGTGAGAAGTGCTGACATGTCATCCCAGACCTCCTGTGGCAAAGGCAGATGACTTTGCTTTACTGCAGTTGTATATCCAGGTTTGGTTGGTAGCAAAAGAGATGTGCCCAAAGTGGCAGCACAGGGGACTTCAACCTAACACATTTATGGGAAAATATACCAAGATCGTAAAACAGAAAAAGCAAAATTTGTTGCCTCCTTCTAACTTTACACTAAGAGGCAGTGCTGAACATTTCTCAGCATTGTTACATAGGAACAGCTTTAGATACAATTTCTGTCATACCAATTAAAAACTAACTGAGTTCTTGGGTTCAGACAGTCTTTGCTCATGGGGTGCGTATTTTGAGCTAATCAATCATTTTCATTATTTTAAAGCAATTAAGCCTGTGAAGGAGAAATGGCATTGTCTAAAGGTTAGAGTGCTAGACTGAGGCTGCTCTGAGACCTAGTTATCTCAGCTCTGTCACTGCTTTGCTAGGCTGACCTTTCCAAGCAACTTAATTACATTATCTCTAAGTTATGCATAATGCTGAAGACTTTCACAAACATTCACAAGGCCAAATGAAGATGTGAGAAGTGGCTGTTGGGAGCAGTAAGAGCAGAGTGTGACATCAAGAGATAATGGTTTTGAGAATGTAAAGAGGCAAAAGGGAAGGACTAACTGCAGAGATGCAGTGACACTGGAGAGCAAAAGAAGTCAATAAGGCATGGAGAGAAACTTGAGTAATGGAATGATGAAAATGTTTTTGATGAGTCTGTACTACCATAGTACTACAAACCTCTTGGTATAGTGCTAAGACTTGAAAATATGTTTTAAAATATGAAGAAACAATTTGTGACTAGCTAGGCCACTTATGTCCCCGATTGGTGCTTAAGTAAAACCATCTTTTAGCATCAGAGAAAACACCTGATCAGTAGATTGCAAGAAGATACATATTTCTAATGTTGTCTAGAAAACCCTGTGCATTCATAATGCATTTAGCATGTACCTCCTATCTAAGAAAGTGTGTTGCATTTCCAGGTTTGATTAGTAATATTTTTAGGGAGTTACAGTGTAAGATGCAATTAACTTCTCCTATCATTGGGAGTTACTCATATCCCCTGATGACAGAACACAGTGCCCAAAAACCACAAATACTGAAACTCATTGTGGCATCTCCTGTGAGCTGCAGGGAATTCAGAACAGGAAAAAAATTTAAAGTGTAGAAAAAGTGAACTGCACGTTCCTTTCTCTGTTTCTCTGTGTTCCCTTGCCATCTAGTGGAATGTGCAGATAAGTGCACTAAAATTTAAGGAGGGATTTTGAAAAGGTGTTTGCAACATTAGCAAGCTGCAGTCATGGCTTTGGCTGCACTCTTGAAAGCATCCCTGACACTGCTAGTCAAGGTGTCTAGCTAACCTAGATGTGCAGTGGGTACGTAGGGGTATGACTGGTTTGCTGGGAATGTGAGACAGGCATCATGGCAGTAATAGGAGAGCAGATGGTTCTGTTGAGCAGTGTTTTCAGGCCTGTAAAACCAAGGTGGAGAAGCAGCAGGTGACACAACACCCAAAATCATCAGTGCATACGTGTCTGTGAAGGCATGTGCAAGCAGAGCATCCGTTCTCCCATCACTCCTGCAAACAGACTGTGATCAGAAGCAGAGCCTGTGCCAGTGAGCTCTGTTCCATGTTGGTACCAAGCCAGTGCTCTCCAGTGTTTGTTGGAACGAGTACATGAACAGCATATGGCTGTTTGCTACTGAAACCTACTGCTGAAAGGAGACCAGCAGGGTTTTTAAATGGAGTTTGCAGCTTGATTTTGGATGTAATGGATTCTTTCTGTGCAACTGACCTTAAACTGACTTTATATCCATGCTAATGCAGCAACTTTGCAGGAAGCTTTATTTTGATTGTGTCTTAAAATCCAGTCTCTCTCGGGGTTCCTTGTGGTTTCAGTGGTAACTGTTTATCCATTCTTCCTCTGAGCTGTACCTTGTTCTACATTCCAGGCCCAGCTGATAGCTCAGTCCATCGGTCAGGCCTTCAGTGTGGCTTACCAAGAGTTTTTAAGAGCCAATGGAATTAACCCAGAGGATCTCAGTCAGAAAGAATACAGTGACATCATCAATACCCAAGAGATGTACAATGATGATCTCATACACTTTTCCAATTCAGAAAACTGCAAAGAGGTAAACTAGTTTTGGAATTTAATTTCAGATTGATCCTTTTTCAGAGGAATGTAGTTCTCAGAAGTATCTTTTGGCATTTTAAGGATGACTTTACAACGTCAAGATGTGTGGTTTCATCAGTACTGTGCTACTAAAATCAGTTTCATAAGTTTTAGGATTTCTTGGTGTCATTTTCAGGGTCTTATTGTTTCAGCAGTAATGTACATTTACATCTGACATAGATAAGCTCTGTGCTATGCACAGTGCACAGTGTAAGGTGATTTTATGTTTTTCCAAAGTACTGAAATGGATAAAGATGACCAGAGTTGTGGCATAGTGCTTGGTTCAATCATACTAGAGAGCCTCAACCAAAGCCAGCTGCCCATCATGATTCCAGTCCTGTCCTTTCACATTTGAAAGAAAAGAATTCCCAGTCTTTTGTTAAAGAGAATGTTCTCTACTTAAAGTCTTACTCCAGTTCTGTAAATGTTAGATATGTGATGGTTACTGAACAGGTAACATCACCATACTTCAGGAGAAGTCATCCTTTATATTATCTTCCATTAACATGCTAGGCACAAGGATATTCAATCATGTTAATAACAATCAAGAGATCCTTGTCTGGAAAGGACAGACAAACCCTGAAATCAAGAGACAACCTGAGCAGTACTGGCAGAAGTGGAGCTGAACACAAGCCTGTGTTGCAGTCCTTGCCTTCAGCCTCCCTCTCTAGCTGCCACATTCCAGGGACACAGACTTTGCCATTCATTCACTTGGGATCCAGTTCCACCACTTTCTGTAGAGTTAACCAATGTGTTAGTGCTTTGCTTATTATAAGGACCTACATGACTTTCAGCAAACAAGTGGAGGATACCCCTAAAAAGAAAAAGGTGTGTGTTAGACATATTTAACAGTGGTTTTGAAGTCATGCTACTACCTAATGGCAAATAGAATGAGTCTAATACTTTGTAGATATTATTGAGGAAGAGCTGAGATGCTCATGCTCCAACTTAGACAAACAAAGCAAAAAAAATTTTTTTTTTTTCCTTTTTAATTGCAGCTCCAGCTAGAAAAGCAGAAGGGAGAAATTCTTGGGGTAGTGATTGTGGAATCTGGATGGGGATCCATTCTACCCACCGTTATCCTGGCTAACATGATGAATGGAGGCCCTGCAGCTCGTTCAGGAAAACTAAGCATTGGAGATCAAATTATGTCCATTAATGGTACCAGTTTAGTTGGTCTGCCTCTTGCAACATGCCAAGGGATCATAAAGGTACCCCAAACTTACAACTCTATGCTGTAGATTGTAAGCCAACAGACAAGCAATCCTATAGATTTCCAGCAGAGACAATCTTTCCTATCACTGCAAAAACCCAGTAATCTGCCATCAACATAAAGCAGAATTAGAAACAGAGATTCAGGGGTGATAATGTACAGAAATTTAGGGCTGCAGAATACGACTGCAGCTTTGTTACTGGGCTGTAACAAATGAGGCCAGGTCTGAAAAATTTGCCTAAATTAACTAATTTAGCTATCTTCCAAGTTTCAGGTTTCCCCACAGCCTCAGAATACAATCTGAGGATGAAAATCTATGTTTTTGGGGGCTCCATGTGGATAAAATGGATGGAGACTGGTAGACTGCAGGACAGATTCCCCAGATAAAGTGGAGTCTCAGAATGCATTAACTTCAGTCACAGAAACTAAGTCTAATGTCTGTGCAGATTTACCAAGAGCAGCAGCAGGAGATTAATTAGACAGATGCTGGTAAAGGGCAAGCAGTAGTCAGTTTTGGGTTTTTGTGAAAACTTCCTCCAAGTTTCTGTAGTAATTAAAGGCAAAACTTTGATGTTCTGTTGTGCCAAATATCTTGGGAAATAAAGAAGAGAAATGTATTTCTAAGGTAGCAACAAATTTCTGTTAACTCTAGTCGATCACTCTCAGATTAGCTGGTTTACACTCTTGCAATTAGGAAACCACAAAGGAGAGCAAATTAAGATCCATTTTAGAAATACTAACTTTTGGAATTTCTTACAGGGACTCAAGAATCAGACACAAGTCAAACTGAACATTGTCAGCTGTCCTCCTGTTACTACTGTCCTCATAAAACGGCCAGACTTGAAATACCAGCTGGGCTTCAGTGTACAGAATGGGATTGTAAGTTTCTGTGTCCATGGATTGGTTTGGGTTTTTTTTTTCCTCTTTCCTTGCTATTTTTTCCTTTCAAGAAACACACTGAAGTACTGAAAAAATCTCTTGGCCAACCTCACTTTTTATACTCGGATCCCTTAATTTATTAAAAACCTCATAATCACATCTGAGTAATATAATGCAAGTGGACAATACTGGGAGAGCATTCTTAAGGGAGTTCCCTAGATAATACAGCCACAAGATTTATAGTCCAGATTGTTTGATGCAATATCTAGCTCAGCTAATTCATGTGTAACTGTCATTAGTGTGCCAGAGTTGCAAGAAATAGCTGCGCTGAAGCAGGTGGTTACAATTAGAACATCCTAATCTTAGCTCTGGTCCTGTTTCTCATTTTCTAAATTGCAGCACACACTAAGACTTAATTTTTCTTCTGCCATGCATAATTTATTTGGATCACATGGAGTAGGCAAATGCTGAAACAGCTGGTTACAATTAGAACATCCTAATCTTAGCTCTGGTCCTGTTTCTCATTTTCTAAATTGCAGCACACACTAAGACTTAATTTTTCTTCTGCCATGCATAATTTATTTGGATCACATGGAGTAGGCAAAGGAATGTAATTGTGACCTCTTGTTAAAACTAAACACCTCTCACTACAAGTAATTGTATGGGTTGTGGCTCAGGTATCCTCTCTCATGCTGCTGCTTCCCTGTAACAATGGCAGCAAATAAACATGTGGCAGGTAACACTTACCCTGTACAGCTCAGGATCCTCCTCGTAGTTCTTCCTTCCCAAGCTGTTCTCGGATACCTTTCCAAAGCAAACTCCCCAACACAACTAGCCCAGGTAGTCACCTGGCCTTTCTGAGGCTGATACTAGCATTAGAGACTGTCTGTAGTGAGGGACCATCACCATTTCCTCTTCCTCCAGTCTAGGAAAAAAAAAGGCTGCTCACACAGAAAACCACATCACAAAGGACTGTGGGCTCTGGTCCCCTGTTCTGTGAAACTCAGTGACTGAAGTTGCCAGATTTCTGTTTGCCACCCTTGGAAGAGGAGCAGGTAACTCTAGAGGATATGGTTTATGGGTCTTACTGCACTCTAGCAAACTCAGGAATGGGTTTTCAGCTCTGCTTAGCCATCTCTAAGTTACTGCTCTGCCTAGATTTTAAGTGTGCCTAAGATCACACATCACCTTGTAGTCACAGCAGAGATTGGTAAAAAGAACATTGCTACAAGTCTCAGTCCAGCTGGAATATCACCTTGTAGTCACAGCAGACATTGGTAGAAAGAACATTGCTACAAGTCTTGGTCCAGCTGGAAGCACTCAGAAGTGGTACCTGCCCCAGGCTGACATCCCTTAGAAACAGAGGTTTAAAGTATTTGTCATGTTGGGCATAAATGTTCTTGACACTAGTGGAGAAAGGGCTGTAGAAAAATACAGAAAAATCAGGTGTGTGGTGTATTTCTGTCCTCCTTTGCCTGTGCTTAATCCCCTTTCACCTATGTGTATATTAAGTGTGTATGGTTACTGCTGGTGGTTCACTCTGTGTTAGCAAATCCCAAGTCTTGGTATAAAAAGGATGAAAGGAATGGGATCTGGTTTTACATGATCTCACAGTGGATGCCAAGAGCAGCATGGAACAGTGTACAGAGCACTGATTTCTCTGCTAACCTTTGTAAATCTACTCCGTTCAGCTGGTGCTGTGATAAAAAGAGGAGAATACACGTAAGGACCTATAAGCATTCCTGTGTTTATCAAGTCTTTAGGAGGCTGTTCACAGCACTGGTGGGGGTTGGGTCAGAACTGGGGAGAAGAACGAGGCCAAGGTGGATTAGAAGCACACCACGGCCTCACATGGACAGGGGCAGTTACAGAGCCTGTGAGACAATCTATTCATCTTGTCCCAGCTAATCATCTGCATAATCGGAGCCTCAATTCAGTTCTGCACTCTGGTGGTTTGCTGTCACTGTGTGCTCTCTCCATCTACTGGCTGTTTGTCATACTCACCACACTGGAGGAGCATCATCCATTGCATTACATGAGCCACATTTAGATGACATCCAACATAAAGTTCACCAAATTCAGCATAAAAATCAGATAACAACAAAGCAGCTTTGTAATGCATTTCATTATGAGAACTCTGTGTTTGACTCTGAAGGCCAATGAACAAAAAGCAGAGATTAGCATCTTTTGTTAGGCTGCTATATAGTCAAGCTTCTGGGCCTGTAAATCCTTCCTCTGATAACCTCTCAACATTTGAAAATATGACTCTGCAAACTATGTCCCTCTGGTAGTTTGACACTGAACGTTTTTGTAAGTGGTTTTGTAATTGCCAGCAATTGTTACAAGTTATGATAGGATTCAGAACTAATATTGTTATTCTTTGTTGGCTCAGCATTAGCACAGCAAAGAAATAAGTGGCTTGGCAGAATGGGTATAATTAGATGTCTCCTACTGGTCTGCCAGTACCTCATTATCCATGCAGCTGGGATTCATGTCTGCATCCTCTGATAGCAGCTTCTCAGGGCTCCTTTTCACCCTATCTCACCTGGGCAGGATATACAGCTGTTATGTTAGGGAAGAGCCCATAAACAATCTGGCCATGCAAAGGCACTAGCTGAGCTGGGGTTTGCCTGTGCAGCATATCAGGCTGATGCAGACACTGGACTGCTTTTTTCTCTTTATTCTGTGTAGTTTAATTAAAACAAATCCTGATCTTGTGCTCCATGGAGCACTAGTAGTACCTGCTCTTGGAGGTTCTGGTTGGGGAACAGCACAACAGCATAAATCAGAATATTAATTTTGCAAAATTCCTCTAATGATGCAAATTCTCTTCATGGCTCCTGATATAGTTACACTGCATAGTTAAAAAAGGAATCTAAAATTCGAAGTGTAAGATATTAAGGAAAGAAACATTGTGCATACATATGAAACCAGTATGAACATTGTGTGATGGGAGGTGAACATGAGGTGACATGTCAGTCACCTTCTGCAAATCATTATGCTACACTTTTTTTCAAATGATGTTATTTAAACACAAGTATTCCTCTCATGTCACATTGTTGCTTTCTACATTTGGAAAAATTTGTGTATTACCAGTTGTATTTTTAATGCTGATAAAGCATAACTTCCCAGTCTAAATCTCAGACACTTCCTTTACGAAGTGTATCATCTGCCCTGTCCCTAGCCTAGCACAATTCTATATAAAAATTCAGTAAAACCAAGAAAAAATTAGCATAACAGTATATTCTTTCCTCTCTGCCTTTATTATCATTTAACTGGGGAAAATATTTACAGGGTTCAAATAGTGTAATACAGGAGTGAGATGAGAAGAAACCTGGTTAATAGGTTATGATTAAGGCATTTACATAGAATAAACAGTTTGCCTGGCACTGTTTTATCCTTTTATGCTTAATGCTACACAATGGACAGCTGAAATGAAACTGATTGTGAAGCTACTGAAGTTTCACATTTGATGTGTGGCAGCTTGTCTAAGACAAATCTCTACCAGCCGAATGGATTGAGCCAGTTTGGTTTTATGGTTTACACCTGTTTGCTTTTTTTCCCCTTCAGTTTACACAGCCAGTAGAGTACAGACTCTTGCTTACAAGAAGATCCAGATATGTCTTGCTTTATCTAATAGTATTACAGCTGGCACAATGTTCAACAAACACAGCAGGTTAGAGAGTCCTGGCTGAATAAAACCATATTTACTTAGTGATACTGCTCAGCTGGAACTTGCCAGCCTGATCTGCCATAGCTCCACTGGCTGGAGACAAAATCTTGGGGCTGCTTTGAGTCAGACCCTTGCCAATCCAGGAGCCATGAGAATGTGTGCTGTGAGACATGTGTTTGTTTATGTGTGCACTGTCTCTAGCTCCCCAGGTCTGGGGGCAGAGCACTCAGCCTCTGTGTCTGGTTCTCTTTCTACCTCATTAGAACAGTTGATGCTCACAAAAAGGAAGCTGCCTGCCTTCCCTGGAGAGGGATCACTTTCTTGAATGAAGAGACCACTTCCCATGTCTGAGGCTGTTAGAAAGAAGAAACTCACTGATGGTATTAAAAGTGCTTTAAGAGCCACACAATGAAAGGTGCTGGAGATAGATATGCAAGCTATTATGTCTCCCTTTATCCTGGTGGGGTGAGAGGTCACATTTCCATTTGCTCTGAAAGCTTTTATTCCAGTTGGCTGTGCTATCTCTATATTTTCCTTTATACCACAAAAAATATATTTACAGGGTTTCTGTTGGTACATGCTGCTTTTTGTCCTTTCTGATTACTGCATACAATCCCCAACAGCAAGGAGCAAACGGTTACTCTAACAGTGAGTTGATTTGAGAAGCTTTCTGTAAAAGAGAAGATCTATGTAGTACAGCTTATCTTGTCAGCTGTATGACTGGAGGGTAGACTACCTGCAAAACAATGTACTGTACGTGGCTGAAATTCAAGACAGTTCTGTGAAGGGTCCTGCTGGTGCCTCTATCCATAGAAACCATCAGAAATACTTTATGAAGCACAGTGGGTAACACTCAGCCACAAGAAAGAGCATGGTGAAAGATAAATCTCACTGCAGGAGGAATGCTTTTTTCTGAAGGCTGAGAAGAGCCTTCTATAAACAAAGAACAGCTACATGTTTTCACTGCCCATATCAGACAGTCTGAACTTCCAGTAAGAAGGGATTTCATTTTTTATAGCACTATTATTTGTGAAGAGAAATTTAAAGGAAACTTCTAGTGTCATACAGAAGAAGATTCCAGTCAACCACAGACAATGTTTCACCTTCAATACAGTCCAGACTGGCCATCTCCCCACAGACTCTGCTTCTCAGTTAGATTACAAACTCACTGGGACACAAGCCACATCTTATCATACTTGTATTTAGCTCTGAGCAAATGACCAGATCGCAGCAAATAATAATTCTTGGCATATAATTCTAACCATTGACAGTACCACAGAAACAGCCATTACTGGATGTTGCAGCACTCATTTCTTTTCCTCCAAGAATAGGATTTTCTCCATAAACAAAAGGTAAATCTCAGCACTGCTAAACTCTGCTCAGATCTAGAGATTAAGCTATACATTATCTGCCTTATGTGAAGCATGAGCATAGTCCTCTGAAATAATTTACCAGAAATTTCTGTCTAAATACACAGCTGTCTATTCTGGCAGGGAGGATCCTGTGGTGACACAGATACTGTTGCTGAGGAGGAAACATTCTGTCAATTCCTCCTACTGGACTGAAATTTTTCTTTCTGCTTGTATACTACGTGTGTTGTACTCTCAGGATAATTTAAGTAGCAATGTCTGCTGGGTCTCTGTCTGGGGAATTTAACTCTTCTTGTTGAATTTTTACCCTGTTGTAGAGGAGGCATAAAATTCAAAACTTGTTCCTAGTTCTCTACTGGTACCTCAGCTGCCAGTTGAAAGGGTGGCCTGACTTGCCTGCTCCATCCTCAGCAACCTCCAGCCAGCACAGAGAAGAGCAGTGACTCTGGAGAGCAGAGTGCCCTTTGCCATTCTGCAGAGGCACAGGAAACAACTTGTCATACTTCACTCTGCTGAGAATAGCCTGTAAGATGAAACAGAATCTGCACATTTCATAGACTCATAGAATGGTTTGGGTTGGAAGGAACCTTAAAGACCATCTTAGTTCCAACCCCTTGCCATGGGCAGGGACACCTTCCACTAGCCCAGGTTGCTCCAAGCCCCATCCAACCTGGCCTGGAACACTCCCAGGGATGGGGCAACCACAGCTTCTCTGGACAACCTGTTCCACCACCCTCACCACAAAAAAATTCTTCTTTATATCTTTGAGATAGGTCTGGTATCTTCCTGGTATGTGTGACCTTTTTGACAGCTCACCAGCTGTCAGTGTAGAATGTCTCTATGGCAGCATCATTCAGTCTAAACTGTTTGTGCAGGGTTCAGGATTAAGGTTTTTGTCAGAATTTTTTTCCATGTATGTGAAAAAAAAAGCTGCTGTACATTCAATTTATCAGTTTTTATATTTTTCCATTATTTAGTCAGAAATATTGAAAACATTTTCCTTCTCTTTACCTTATATCCACTTTTGCATGGGGACTACCTGTACCACTGTGGTAGGGATTTTCATGTTCCCAGCTCAAGAGAACGAAAAAATGTAATTTGCAGAAATCTTGAAAAAAAACCCCAGAACCCAATAAACCACTAAACCAACATTTAAAAACTCGCAGCACTGATTAATACTTTCCACAGGCATCTTCAGGAATCCTTATGGTCTCCCCACTCATCACTGTGTATTAAATCCCAGTAAGTGGTACATTATATTTCTAAATATCATCATGGGCTAAACTTTGCTTTCCCTTGGCAGATTTGCAGCTTGATGCGAGGTGGAATCGCAGAGCGAGGAGGGGTGAGAGTTGGACATCGCATTATCGAGATCAATGGACAAAGTGTCGTTGCAACAGCTCATGAGAAGATAGTACAAGCACTGTCCAATTCAGTGGGAGAGGTAAGGAAACAAATACTTTACCAAGGAATTAAAATAGTGGAAAGAATGTATGTTGCAGTTGCAAAGAGTGTCTTAACACAGCAGTAAACCTACTACCTCAGTAAACTGCAGTTTGGTACTAACAGGGAACAAAGTAAGACAACATTTCTTGAACAATTAGATGCACATTCACTGCATTTTACCACTCATTTTCAAGAGCTCCCAGCATAATTCTGAACCTTCAACCTGTTTGAATTAAAGCAATCAATTAAAGGAAGAAATCACTCAAGCATGTTAGCTACAGAAATGTCTCTTGGCTTATTGCTATAGCATCTGCCACAGACGAATTAATATTCAAAGGGCTGAGAGATGCAAATTGATAGAGCTTTTAATAATTTAATTTCCAGCTTACCTTGGGAATAAGTTAAAGACACCTCTCTCCAGTACCTCTAGAGAAGTCAGCAATGAAATGTGCTCACCAAACATATGAGGCCAACATGAAACTATTTTTTACAGCCCGAAGGGAACAAGATACCAAGGCAGCATGTGGCTGCTCAGGGTCTGGATTTGCAGTTAGCAAAGTTTCCCTTCCTTCCTCGTGTGTTGTCTGATGGGTACTTAGAGCTGTTTCTACAGTTCTGACAGGACCTGATTCCTGAGGCCTTGAAACCTGTTCATCTGTGCAGTCCCTAACACTGCTCACAGTACTCCTTGTAGCCACGAGAGAACCTGCTCCACCAAACAGCATTTAAACATCAGGTGGTAGAGTCCCAAATTCTGTGGTCAGAGGATCATACTGCAATTAGGAGAAAATACATGTGAAATGACATTCCCATAGGAAGACAAAATAAAAATCTAAGTTCAGTTAATACCAGAAGAGCAGAATTAATTTGCAGAGAGGTTTGTGCTGCTTCTTTTTTAAGGGCTGTAATTGGAATAGGGTAGAACAATAGAAAGTGTTTAGGTACTTTTTAAAGCTATATGATGATGCTTCTTGTTATAGTGATTAATAATAATAATTTAAAAACAGAAAAAAAGCAAAGACGGTGAAGCAATGTCTTAAAACCAGAGAACTTTGAACTGGAAACTCTGATAACACATCTATAGAAACCAGGACAAAACCATCACTTAGACCACAGGGAGAGACAGATGGGGCCTTATGGGTTATTTTAAACTAGTAACAAGTCTGTTAATTGCTGTGTAATCAATTGACAGATTCACATGAAGACTATGCCAGCTGCCATGTTCAGGCTTCTAACTGGGCAAGAGACTCCCCTGTACATCTAGCATCTTGCAGCAGCAGAACTGAACGATTCCATCCAAGCCGAAACTATCACAGCTGAAGAGAACTTTGTATTTTGTATGAAAGAAAGGCTTGGAAGCTGCCCTGAGGACTCCAGAACAAGGAACAGACAGGTGTCTCTGCCTTTCCTCTCCTTCCTTTTTATTTCTTTGACAAAAAGTGATGAGAAGGATGGTCAAGGACAATAATCACTGACAAGAATCTTTGTAAACATTTAAGTATTTTGCAACATCTTTTAAACTCTTTTCTCATAGAACTTAAACCATATTTATTTGTAACCTTTATGTGGAGTGATGTATGTCTGTCTTGTTTGATAACACAGTGAATGTGAACATTTGATGAATGAGACTGCAGGAAAGGGCAAAGAGAAGGAATTAGAGCAAGTTCTGGCTGCCTCAAGTGGAAAAAAAAAATCCCAGTCCCATAAAGTGGTCCAATACTGATGGCTTTGCATAATTTTAAGGTATTTCAGTGGGAAGGAATGTGCAGTTAAAACTTTTAGATTCTATTGTAAAGAAAACCACTGTAGTACTTGGTATTGTTATGACAAGTGTAACCTGTTTGGCAAGGTGTGAACATAAACATGTAACAAGTGTTTCATATGCTAAATAAAGAATAATTGCCACAAGATTAAAATCAAAATATTTATTTAGATACATATTTATTTTTAATGCTTGTGATTTTTATGATTTAACAAAGTTATTTCATGGATAACTTATTGCACAGGTTGTGTAATGTACGTGTTGGGCTGAGGTTTTTTTTTCCTTCCTTTTTGCAGATGACCTTTTTGTTCATATTAGCTCAAAATGGGAAAGCCATGCTTACCTGTTTCTGTCTTTTATAAAGCATCCTTATTCCTAAGGCAGTGTGTTCTGAATGTAAGTTGTTTTGACCAATAACCTAGCACCATCAGCAGTATTAGAATGTGTGTAGATAAAAACCTAGTAGTAAAGTTGTATTCCTTATGAGATAAATGTTAATTGGTGTAACTTCGTCGAACTTTTTTCTTTTGGCCAAGGCCTTGAAGAAAATACACTGTGACTTAAGAAGCCTTACCATGCAGTAACTAAAGAGCTTTAGATGACTGTACTTCAAGGAGTAGTGTGTTGCATGCAACTGACCTTAGGAAAGAATTAAGCTATCACTAATAAATCTGAACTAAGAAAGGAAGCTTGCTTACTGTTTGTTGTGTAAGTTTACATAGTAAAAAACCCGAGTAGAAGATCCTTTAATTCTTCATCTAAGTGCAGTTGCAAAGGTCACAGATTATTTTTTTTAAAAGGAATTAATCTCCTGAATTGGGAATTTGTGTATCACAGTTAGCTGGAGAGTAGATGCTTTCAATTCGCACACCTTGTTGCCACTGGATGTCACTGTAACTTCACACCAACACAGACAAATGCTGTCGTTCAAGGACATTAAAATGGATGATGCTGTAAAACTGCCCATCTTCAGCTACATTCCTTTGTGACCTTTTCCCAGGGTGTCTGCCCAGCTCAGAGTGGCACAAATGAACCCAGTGTAGGATTAACCCTCAGATGGAAACTAACGCTACTGACAAGCACTGCTGCAAAAACATTAACCCCTGAAACATCAGCCTGGGGTAGGTTCTTTATGAGAACCTTTTGTTAAGGCCTTTCCAATTTCCTCTGAGAGCCAGGATGAAGCTTGCACTGGAAGATGTTGCTGGCAGACCTGTGTTTGTGCTGGTAATCAAATTAGTGTCAATGATATTTACTTCTTGCTATTTTTTTAAGATCAATGTTAAATATATCATAAACACAACAGAACCACAAGGACATGTTTGAGTAATAAAACTGTCAAAACTACTAATTGGAGTAACAGTTCTTTTTGAAAAAAATGTTTAAGGCTCCACTAGGTAAAAATTCATCTAACTTCCTAGCAGTTGGTGCTGGTAAAACGTTTGTAAAAGATGAGTTTTAGAAATGCAGAATTTCAGAGTCTTCTCTCCTAATGCATCTTCTGGTCACACACTGCAGAGTACTGAAATGTCAGTTCTCAGTAGCAAATGCTAGTACAGGAACAAACTCAGGAGCATTTGGAGCAAAGCAAAAATAAACCACACTGCAGCCATCACTGCTATTTAAAAGGGCAACCTGGGAGGGTCAATGGGACAGATCAGTCAGTCTGGAATGAAAGACACTGGGAAAATGGATTAGAAGCAGCACTGTATGTGTGTGTGTGTCACCTTTAGGTTTCTATCCAAATCAGTTGTTGAAAAAGCAAAGTCCAGAAATACTTTTTATTAAAACACTGACGATAGTTAAAACACTTTGAGGTACATTAAATAAATACAACTTTCAAGTTGTACAGTCAGTCTCTGGTGGGTTTGCAATGGTTTGCAAGAAGTGCTGGGCAGCATCAGTAGCATTTCAGTACATAGAGTCAAATAAATGCTTTTCTGGCTGGGAAAACACTTGTTATGACTTAACTAATGAAAATCAATTAAAATTTAGCAAAAATCAAGGCTGAAATTTACATTCAGAATAACAGGTGCTCTCATCCTGCTGTCGGGGAAAAAAGTGGAATTCCAAAGGAAGACACTTTTTCCTTTTTAAGTCATCCACTAGTATTTGTCCCAGTCCTGGTTTCTTCCAGAGTTGTCTCTGCTGGAATGACATACCTGTGATATCCTCAAAGGATGGTCTCCCGGCAGACTCCGATCAGACTGTGCGGCCTGTCCCGCTCTGAGCTGCGAGGGAGGTGGGACCTGTGCAGGAAGGCAACTGGGGAGCTCAGAGCACCACAGCTCTGAAGATGAAGGTCTTCTTGGAGTCTCTTTCTAGAGGTATTCACATTCTGCTGGGAACTCGTAATTACCTGTGTGAAAGGGCAGGAGTGGAGAAGGAAACGATGGGGAAAACAGGGTAAGAAAAGTCTTCACTTCGAAGGTTCAGGCTGTGAATAATATTTCATTTAAGCTGTCTAATGATGGAACTGTTGCAGAGCAGATGGGTATTTGCAGCCCTGCAGAGCCCTCTGCTGCTGTCCTTACAGCTGGGCAGGGCTCAGCACAGGCCACTGGGAGGCCCAGTCAGACTGCCTTGGCTGTACTGCAGTGTTGTGTCAAGTGTTTCACAGAATCAAGGTTGGAGGAGACCTCTAAGATCATTGAGTCCAACCACTATCTGCCACTCTGCAGTAACCCTTAAACCATATCCTCCAGCACCAGATCCAGATGCTCTTAACACTACCAGGGGTGGTGACTCCACCACCTCCCTGGGCAATCTATTCCAGTGCCTGAACACCCTAACAGGGAATTTTTTTCCTAACATCTAATCTCAATCTCCCCTGTCTCAGTTTATGACCATTCCCTCTAGTCCTCTCACTTACTTCTCTCTATGCAAATGAAAAGGAAATTGGTGGGAAAGGAGCAGCTCTGCTGTGTAATTGGCAAATACAAGTTTAGAGCAAATTAAACTCATCTGTTTCTTTTAGGAGAAAGATGTTTCACTAGCTCTGTGAGGGTGGAAGAGAACTAAAACCTCACAAGTCTGGTAAACAAACATTTTGGTTTTAATAGAACTGTCAAACCACTTCACAAATCTGAATTATACAACTATTTCACCAAAGATTGCTGTGATGCCCTGGACACTGACTAGTTCATAATGGGTTTTTGTCTGGAAAAAAATAACTATTAAAATTATTTCTTTAATGTGGAAAAAAATTTATGTCTCCCTGGATCTAAGCAATGCACACAGGGTAAAAATTGGGCCATTGATTTCTGTTTCTGGTTTTATGATCTACGTAAGCACTTGCACTGTGAGAAACTCTGTTTTTTTTCATTTAAAGGAAATTGTTTTCAAGGATTAAATCCTCAACTGGAGGATTTAATGACCTATATGTTTTGTAGAGCAATAAAAGCATTAAAATTTCACACCATACTGACACTACTAAGCATGTCATGACAGTGGAGCTTTTCTGCCCCTGTGACTATGGAGGTAACTGACACAGTTCTTCTGTGTTCCACTTCAGAGGCAGCAAAAGCAATCCTGCAGGGAGCTTTGGTACATGCTGCATGATTCCTGCTACACTGCAAACTGCCTCACGTGCTAGTCAAGTGTTACTACATCCCATTTTAATACTTGGTCAGTTTCCCTCATGTAGGGATCAGCTGACTAATACCCTAGAAATCACAGTATGTCAGAGGGGGGGAACAGCCCCCAAGGGTGTGTCCTTGTTCATCTGTCCAGCTCTGTGGAAACCCTACAGACATCCTGGATGTGGTTAGTCAGTGCTAGAGCATTCTGCTTTTTCAACTGGACAACATCAGAAGAACCTCATTTCCCTAGCTGTCATTCTGGTAACAATACCAGCAAGAGGTGATTCATCACCTTTCTTCCTGCAGAACCTCCTGCACGAGATATTAAAAGGTGCTTCTACTACTAATTCCCTTGTTTTATAGGATTCCTTCCAAGCCTTGTGTTTGTTTTATACTCTCTCCTGCATTTGGAAAAGCCCAATTTCTCAATTCTTTTACTTAAAAACACCAAGAGCCTTTACCCATCTCCTGCACTGTTGGGTTTGGATAGCTGTGGCCCTGCTGGTATATCTACCCATTCTTACAAACCCAAATTCATACATGAACAGTCACAGGTCCAGAGAGACATTGGAAATAGAAGAGGATGATTATCCATGTGTAAATCAGTTTCCTATAGATCTCCTAGGGTATTACTGGGCCCAGCTGAAGAATTTTAAGTGCATTTATAAGTGCTTCAGTGTAAAATGCATTTCTGCCCAATAAATACACATTATTTCTTACTAAAACCATGTTACTATAAAAGAACTTTCATAGGAACTGTCGGAAGTACTTCAAGCTGTAAAAACATTGCAGTAAGGTGTTTATCTGTCAAACTGAACACATCTCTAGAACAGAAGTGGCCCACCTGGTCTATGATGTTGGCACTGAAGATGGCTTCTTCCATGTGTCTCTCATCAGATTTAATGACTGAGCGGATGCTGTTCACTACGTGACGCACTTCTGGAGGGAGATTACAGTTTGAATGCTCCAAAAATTTTGCCACTAAAATTTTTGTGTCTTTATAGGCCTTAAGGTCCACCAAGGAGTGTGGCCTCTCTTTTGAGACTGTGTGCAAAGCCTTTGGCTTTAAGTGCAGATCAGTTTTCCTTGTGTCCCTCTGTTTTCCAGCTGGTAGGAAACTGCCCAAAGAATGCTGACAAGCAGGGGCAGCCATGTGAGAACCAGAAACAGGAACTAAAAAAGGGGGGGAAGAAGATCTTTAAAGTAATAGTTTAAAAAAAAGAAAAAGAAAAAAGAAAAGAAAAAAAGGCAAAACAAATATTGTTTTATTGTTTTCATTAGTTCATTAATATTGTTTTAGTGTTACATATGTAACTTGTAAAGTTCTAGGCCCAACCCCTGACCTCAACTTTAAGAGTAAAGTTATTTCTAGGCTTCAAAAATTACATGTGCTGAATAA